AAGGAGGCACAGAAGAATGCTATTCTACCTTTTGACAGACGGAGATGGATGTTAGGTCCACCTGGACTATTCCATGTCCTCATGAATCTAATCCTAACGATCGTCCGTATCCATTTTGATACGGAGCCTTTACTACCGTCGGATACAAAGCCTTCACTACCATCGGATACAAAGCCTTCACTACCATCGGATGCGAAGCCTTTACTACTATCAGATACAACGCTTCTATCGGATATCATCTACTGGGATCGAAAAGGATATACTCGAGAATCCCCAAAGTTCTACATGTTTGACCCTCTGCTTAAGCAATCATTTTATGCTCGTGTCTTAATGCTATGGTACCATGTTCTTACGAGACGAGGGCATATCTAAAAGGCATTCCTTGAAGATACCAGTCTAAGTTCGAAACTGGATCTAATTATCCAGAACCTGGAGCCAGAAGAACTTATCTCTATAATAAAAGAGGTCTACATACTGGCATTCTCTCCAGAGGCATGGGACACGACACAATATGGACTTGAATTTCGAAGTCTCTGCCGGCTTGTCCAGTTAATCAGCATCTTCCTTTCTTTGCGTAAAGCAGTCAAGAATGGCGACATCGGCTGGATTAACCGTTTAATCGACCCACTTGCAGTTATCTTCTACGCAACTGGACAGCACAAGTATGGTGATAAAATGCTCCATCTTCGTTGGGTATTATCTGAATGCGTTTCAGAGAAGATTCTCCGCGACGCAATACTATCATCTAGTCTTATGAATTTGCATAGCAAACCAGGCCAGTTTAAGGCTATTAATCTAGCCCTTAAACACGTTAATTGCGTATACAAGATTAATATAAAGTTGTTGAAGAATTCAACACATAATGCAGACAAAACCTTTAGTAGAGTCGCATTATTAAGTAATATCTTCTCTAAGATTCGTGGAGTATGGGAGAACTCATTTGGTTTTACCCAAAGCGATCGACATACCACTAAAGCTGATTAACGGGATATCTTTAGTCGCGCGCTTCAACTATATCTACGCAGTCCTTTGCTCACCATCTAACCTCGTGAAGCTGTTGGTTGGGACGCGCCTGATATCTTCCGGATTGGTGCTGAGGTCTTAGAACAAAAGGTCAATTCCTTCAACAATCGGATACCAGTCCGCTCTAGTATCATCCCCCAGGCTGATCCTGACCTTAATGAAGAGATGGATTTGGATCTTCATAACCCTGAGATCTCACAAGCAATTACCTACTCTGAGGCTTGTGAAGATGGGCTTGTTGAAGATGATGATATTCTTTGACTGCGTTATCGCTCACTTCAAAGTGCAATATCCCTACCAATCTTTCATATTTTTCAAAAATGATAACATTGCTGGAATCTTCTTATTAAGGTCTACAAGATGATGTATATATAATCATAAATCAATGGGTTCCTACCCACCCCATTTCCTTTGAAGTTGGTACAAATCTGGAAATAAAAGGACACTAGTCTAAAAAGGGCCATCCGAAGTTCTCCCAACCAAAACACGTCCAAATCTTTGTTCTTCTATTTACCACTCTTCCCCCATAGATCCTTCCCTTTTGGCGTCAACTGTACATGAGTACGAAGACCAGCTCGTTTAGGCGTATTCGGCCTGTCTTGTCTGGTGATCTGTCCTTTCTCCTGGTTTCCAGATACTTCCCTAAGCGGCGTCCGACTTCTCTTGCGCATACCTGAAGAAGAATCTTGAGCAGCTCGTTTGGTCGTTTGGCTGCGCGACAGGATGTCAACAGGTATAGGAGCTTTTATATCCGAGGGGATCGTAGTCTTATTATCTGTACCAGAATCTAACTTAACGCTAGACTGTGATACGAACGATGACTCCCCTCCTCCGACAAACGAGCTTCCTAATTCCTGCGACCCTTCCGATATCTCCGGCAGTGATGAAAACGAGGGCCAATGGCGGGGTTTGAATATTTCCCGATACTCATTAAGCTTCTGCGCAAGAAGCTCGTTATGCATGATAACCCGGAGCCCATCCCTATCATCTGCCGACTGACGACTGCGGACATCTTGAGCAACCTCTTCCTCTTTAGATAGAGTGGGATTAGGTATAATACTCAAGTCTTGAGGATTACTCCCCAAGTCTTGAGCAGCAGCCCCTGTAGCCTTTCCGGCCAGTGCCTTCAGGTTCCTCTTACACTTTCGTTCCTCTAGTATCGCGGCATGCTTCGAGTATACGTCTGGAACTATCTGGACAAGGAATACCAGCAAAGGATCGAGTAGGGCGTTTCGATATTCCTAGTTTTCGATATCAAAGAGGGCTAACAATGCCTCCTGATCTAGTATAGGTATCGTTGTTAAGTTCTTCGCACAGGTATACATACGAGCAATAGCCCATTGCGCTTCTTGAGGAATGATCACCCCAGCTAGGATTGGAATCATTTGCTGCGCTCGTGGGAAGATCGATTCCACCTATTCAAGACACCACATAACCAATAGATGCAGTGCAATACCTGCCTTAGTCTCTCGGCCAGGTTTGGTAGACTTGAGGGGGGTATCAGGCATTGGTGGCAACTGGAACAATGCCAGATTACACTCCTTCCCATTACAACAGACCTTCTTGTCTGCTCGAATGGGGGTAGTATCTGGCTCGCATTGGTCCTCGTTAAACTCCGTAAGGAATACCTGCCGTCTGCATAGCGCGTTGGCAAGAGAACGGATCGTTATTAGGAGGGTTGCCCTATGCCTAAGTTCATCAACAGTCTATAGAGGTGGACCATCTGACTTGTCCCTCTTCTTAGACTTTGGGACAGTTAATTGCGAGTTCTCTTGACTGACTGCTTCGGTATTATCAGACTGTTCAGAGAAGTCAGACTCAGCTCCACCGCCTTGCAATAATGGCGATGGTGAGTGGGTGGTATTAGGTAACCGGATCGTATTCCGCTTTCCCCTTTTCTTCTGAGACAATGGCTGATTATTACGCGAACTCGGCATTTGAACAGGATCCTGTCCCATTAAGTCGAACGCATAGTATGGCAGGAATATAAAAGCCATCCCGTTGATTGCTTGCTTCACTCGAACAGCCCGTCTAACCCGTTGCCAAATATTACCGAGATTATGGCCGATTGGAAGACCCCATTGAGCAACCACCATAATATCAGGGATATCCATACCCATTCCAAGAGCAGTAGTTGCAATAACTACTCTAAGAGAAGAGCATAGGGATCTGATCTTATCGTACAGCA